TCCCTCTTTTTGTTTTTCTGAACCAATTAAGAGTAAACTGCAGATATGATACCTCTTCATCCCTAAATACTGAGGAATAAAGAGATAAAATGGAGTCAGTGTAGTCAAGCTGCTAAATCACTAAAATCAAGTTAGTTGAAGCATGAGGAAATGATTCTATTCTTGTTTTAATGAGCCTGGAAACCTAAACTTTTGAACTTTCCAGTCCTGTGTCAAAGCCTGGATATACATCAAAGCTCCAGGTAACTCTCTCATTACCCTCTAAAAGACTAAGGAAAGAACGGTTATGTATCCAGATAACATTTAAATGCTCAGTTAAAACAAAGCACATAACAGATTATCTGATTTAATATACCAAAGGTCAAAAACAGGCAAAACTACAAATAAATATGTATATTACATAAGACTCTTCAATAGAGAGGGACTAGGAAATAATGCCCAATACTTGCTAGTAACTTTACATGTGCTTTATCAAGCAGTAAACAACTATAAAAAGATTAGAGGCCCGGTGCACAAATTCATGCACTTGGGGGGTGGAGAGTTCCCTCAGCCCGGCCTGTGCCCTCTTGCAGTCCAGGAGCCTTGGGGGATGTCCGATTGATGGCTTAGGCCTACTCACAGACTTAAGCCGGCAGTCAGACATCCTTAACGCCCCACAAGGCGGGAGAGGCTCCCCCCAGGCTGCTGTGCTCGCCAGCCATGAGCCTGGCTCAGGGCTTCTGGCTGAGCGGCACTCCCCATGCGGGAGTGCACTGACCACCAAGGGGCAGCTCCTGCATTGAGTATCTGCCCCCTGGTGATCAGTGCGTGTCATAGCGACCAGTTGTTCCACTGTTCGTTTGATTTGCATATTAGCCTTTTATTATAAAGGAGGATAGGGAGCAAACAACAGTTGGCTCTTAGACTCAAAGAGAGCAGCTTCAGGCAGGCTGCTGTCATCAGGGGTCTGAGACTCAGGTATCCCTGGGAGCTCAATTTCAAATTACTCTTAATGACTATATGAAAAATACCATTGAAAGAAAATTCAGTAACTTATTTGTTACTTTTATTCACTAAGATCAAAGATAAATACTCAAAAAAATAAGAACTATTCAAAGAAAATCCAAATTGATCTTACATGGCTCCAGTTTTGGAGGTAGGGCAAGTATATTCTGCCTTGAGCATCCACATGTTTTCCAACTGAGATTCCCATATTTGCAGTTGGCTTTAAGAAGCAAATGGGGGGAGCAAAAGGGTGAGAATCCAAAATCCACAAACGAATTGGTATGTTATATGTATTACCTATTTGAGACAAAATAAACATACTTCAAACAATAAGGCATGTACACTATGTATGGTATAGCTAGGTGGCATTTTAAGATGTGTAGTCAAGTTCATATATAAAGAACTTAGGTAAATTGAGGCCTATTTTTCCCATTTCATCTTCATTAACATTGGAAATATATTCCCATTAAATCACCAGCATAATATTTGAGGAAATTTAATTAAGACATCCAACTCAATTCAATAAATATATAAAGGACCTACTGTGTCAGGAGTTTGAGATACACAATCTTCTATATGTAATCTTCTTCACTCTACCCGAGCAGAGCTATAGTACCTATCTTGACTGGTAGTGGACACGTATTTTTATACTTCTGCACTGAAGTTAGTTGCTTACAGTTCTGTTTCTCACTTTACACTATAAACTTCTTCCTAAGAGAGGATTATGTATTATTCATTTCTATAACCCCTTCACTAAAGATAGTGCCTAACGTACTGGCTGCTCAATACAAGTCTCTTATATAATTAAGAATGACTGAATTAATAAATAAATGAAAAAATAAATGAATGAGTAAAGTTGAATCTGATACTGGCCCTCAAGTTGCTCACTAATTGCAGGTACTATAACATACCAGCTAGTTTTGATACATAGAACTTAGAGCTGAAAATAACCTTAATAGTCACATTGTCCAGTGGTTCTTAAATTTTAGTGTACTGAGAAAGGAAGTTGCATATAAGTTCTTCCGATTGTAATCATGTAGGTCATGCCTACCGAGAGCCAAAATCTGACTGCCTTGGTTGTCAGGAAGCCCAAAGCGAAACCTAATGTAAGTATAAAAATAAAACTTCAACTAGAAATCTCATCAATTACCTTGGCTGTTTTATTTTATCTCCTGATATTTATTCCTGCTTCCATAGCTTTATTGCATATGTCTTTCACTGTACTTAAGAACAGCTGGATGCTCAGAAGCAAGAATGCGTAGGTTTCACTCATTACTAGCTGCATGATTTTAGGCAACTTAACTTCTGTGTCTCAATTCCTTCTTCTATAAAATGTGAATAATAATAGCTCCTACATCATAGGGTTATTGTGAGGATAAAATTAGTTAATGTATGTAAAATGCTTAGAACAGTATATGATATGGTAAGTACCATGACGGGTTGGCAGGGTTTGCATTTTGAAAACTGAAAATAGGCCCATTATAAGTAAAAATATTTTCTTTTCCACTGCAACCTTTTCTTACTAAGGAAATCCTCCTTCCATTGAAAGTTACTTTTTTCATCTTGCTTACTGCTCCCCTAAGCACAATGGTACCCAGAGGTGTCTGCAAATTAGAAACACTTAAGGAATTTCAAAACATACCAATATCCAGGCCACTCTTCTAAAGTTTCTGATTCAATGGAATGGGGACTGGATGTCATTTTTAAAAAGATTCCCATGTAATTCTGATGTCCAGCTAGGACTAAAAATTAGTACATTGCAGAAATGTCCTAATACCTGGTCTACTATTTCATATTAGCAGTTCCCAGAACCATACTCCTCTTCTACTTTTGTCTAACTATTAAAGAAATGTTTTTTTGAGGTATGTCACCACAATAAGTCTAGTTAACATCTGTCACCATATATAGTGCCTAAGTATTTACAATACAGGTATAGAGAGAAGTAGCAATTGGTCTGTAGATAACTCTGTGATTATAAAGTCATGTGATCATAGCACCACAAAGTAACCATTTATATTGGCCCATTTGATAATGAGAAAGATAATACATTCTGACCTTCTGATCAGCAAGAAGTAACTAGTGTGCATCACGTTGAGTTAATATAATTCTAGTCAAAAGCAAAGGGGGAAAAACGTACTTCCAATGAAAAGGTATTGCAGGTACCACTACTACCTTGAAAGGCCCAGCCAGCATTAGAATCAATGACATAACTCCATGGCACTAGGAGAGTCAATGAGGGGCATCTTACCAATGGCAGTAAGATAACTGGTATGCCCTCCTGTTACCTCCCACATTGTCCTAGAAACTGAAATGCTACTAAGCAATGATTCATTTAAATTCACAAGCTCCTTCATTAATATGCAAATATTGAAATTATTGGGATGGGTAAGAATTGTGAACTCAATCAATCAACCAACCAGTCCTTGGGGTGGATAGGAATTCCTTATCTCTCTTTCTAACATCTAACCATAAGAAATGCAGAACAGGTCCGAATATTATGGCACTAAAGAAATTTAAGTTCTTATTGAACTGCTCATTTAGAAAATTTCCACAATTTCTCAACATCCACACTTACCCTGATACATCACAGGAACAGTACCAGTGAAATTCAGCAAGTCTTTCTGGGAACTATCTTTGAAAACTGAGAGGGAAAAAAAAAAGCCTCAAAATGTGCAATCAGAAGTAGGAAGAGGAATCAAGTCGACTCAATGGCAGGTAATGCACATATGCACATACACATGTACAGAAAACATAATTTCTAAGTACTATTGTCTAGGAATCAATAAAATGTTGACAAAGGAAAATTACTACTTTTTTTTTCTTAGAAAGCAGAGCAGGTAGGTGAGTAAACACAGGACTTTGATACTGAAATCCCAAGTTCTAGGCCCACCTTCCCCACTTAAAGGCATGTGACTTGGTTACTTTAATCTCTTTGACTTTCAGTTTGATCATCCATAAAATAAAGATAATAAGACTGAATCATAAAGTTGTTATAAGGTCTAATGATATAATGTAAAAAGAAGTAAAGGATTATAAAATGTGAGGACAAAAATAATTGTCACATGTAACAAAGCAGTTACAATCACTTTCAGAAACCAGGTTATAGGTTTCAGAATAAGAAAAAAAATGTTAGCTTTATTTTTGAAAGTGACCTTTTAGAAAGATCAATAATTATTTTCTTTGGTTTCTCTAATTACATTATTCTCAACCTTTATTCAATCTTCACATCCCTGAAATTTCATCAATGACTAGGACACACTGATGGAGAATGAATGCCCTAATCTCTGAACTAAATATAGAAAAGACTACCTTTGGCTTCAAACTATCATACTGCCTTGGAATGTAGTCCTTTTAGTGACTCAGTAACTATACTACACTTGTTTTTAAATGGAATGGAATAAATAGAAGAAAAAATGCCAAAGAGTCCACGGTATTTTAGCTATGTGTATATGGGTTCATGGCATGAAATGTATTTCCAAGTGTAGGCTGTGGTCAGAATTTTTGAAAGATAGTAAATCAAAATCTTTCTTAGGTAGCCAAACTCTCTGTATTAAGTGAACAAGATAACTAAAACTTCAACCATGTATGTGGTAAGCAGAATAATGACCTCCAAAGATATTTAATACCCTAATCCTGGGACTTCTAAATATGCTAATCTTACTTGGCAAATAGACGTTTTAGATGTAATTAAGGACCTGAGGTGGAAAATTATCCCGTGCTATTGGAAAGGACGTAATTGAATCACACTGGTCCTTAAAAGTAGAGGACCTTTCCTAGCTGTGGGTAGAGGGAGATCGGACTACACAGGATGGTGAGAGAGATGCAACATTGCTAGCTTTGAAGATGGAGGAAGGAGGCCTGGAGCCAAAGAATGAGGATGACTTTAAGAAACTGAAAAAGGCAAGGAAATGGATTCTCTCCCAGAGCCTCCAAAAGGAACTGAGAACTGCCAACACTTTGATTTTAGTCCACACTTTCTATCTACAGTGACCTGTGCTGGACTTCTGGCCTCCAGAATTGTAAGATAGTAAATATGTGTTGTTTTAAGTCATTAAATTTGTGCTAATTTGTATGGCAGCAATAGAAAATTACTACAATGTAAAATGTATTAATTTAAATTTCTTCAGAAATCACAGGTCACAAAGTGTAGTTCAAAATCAGGGGATAAAAGAGAGAAATTATAATTTTGTAGCTCACCAGGAACAAATAATAGTTTACATAATGTAGCAAAAACTGGAGAATACAATTCTTACCATAGGTGTCCATGGAATATCTGAAATGTGGGAAAAACGTATTTACATTCTTTAGTTCTTCCACAGTTAGATCCCTGAACTTGTACTGAAAAGAGAAAAATGAACATGGGATAAGAATAAATCTATAGATGACAGAACAATTACAATCAACATTTAACTGAATACTGACTGTGTACGAGGCTCTGAGTTTTACAAACATGAGTAGTAATAACAACCCTATAAAGATGAACGTGAAAGCTAGAGAATACAAATAACCTGCTGAGTTAGTAAATTAAGCAGGGAAGCCAGAGATGAAACCTAGGACCCGAGCCTTTAATCACTAAGTCAAACTGCCTCCAAACACCTCCTGAAGGCTTAAGAAGTAGGGCAGGTGTATCTATCACTCCTGTCACCAACCACTGTTCAAGATCCACTCTTACTCTTGAATACCTCATTCATTCATTCACTTGACACACCTTGAATTTCCCTTCCAACCCTCCTGGTACTGCATCTTGGGTTTCAAAGGGAGAACAGAAAAAAAAAAAAAAAGCATGCATAGGTTTGCAGTCAGGCTGAGTGAACTGTCTCCTCATTCATCCAGATGCACTCCCAGAAACGTGACCTTGGTGGCCCTGTGGGCAAAATCATCTAATTTCTTTGAATTTTTCTTAGTTGCAAAGAGAAATAATACCTACCTTGTAGACTTGTGCTGAGGATTAAATAAAAGAAAAAGTATGAGTCTATTACCATTCTAAAAATGATTTTGAGGAACCATTTACATTTACAACAATCCAAATGTCTATCAATTGATGAATGGATAAAATGTAATATATCCATAACACGGAATATTCAGTCATAAAAATAAAGAACTGCTACAGCCTGGCCGGCGGAACCAGGGGCTCACGGTTCCATTCCCGGCCAGAGCATATGCCAGGGGTGGTGGGCTCGATCCTCAGTGGGGGGCGTGCAGAAGGCAGCTGATCAATGATTCTCTCTCATCAGTGATGTTTCTATCTCTCTCCCTCTCTGAAATCAATAAAAATATATATATTTTTAAAAAAAGAATTACAACTAGAAAACTGATGAGAAGAGGGGCTGCCTCAGACTATCCAATGGTGGGGAATCAGAGAGCCTGAACCGGAAACTGGCGCTGGCCGATCCCCAGAAATGTAGGTCAGACTCGCGGGTCAGCCCTCCGGCCAACCCTCCAAGGCTAAGAGGACCTCCTCTGGGCCTTCCAGCCCCGTCTTCAAGCCTAAATCTCCTCCCGTCCTTCCTCCGCCGCAGGGTTACTGAGCACCTGCGCCGTGGGGAGGCACAGGCGAGGCGGCGGCGTTCAGAAGCACGAGTAAGGTGTGCAGGTACCCAATGACCCCACGATGTGATGGATCATCGATATTTCTGAAAGCAAGCGGAGCGAATGGATTGCCTCCGTCTCCCAGGCACTGGCATCTGAGTTGGACCTTAAAGAGGCCGAGTGAACACTGCAAGTCAACGAAGAGTGGGTGGAACAAGCCATTTCAGCGGAGAGAAAAGGGGAGCGGCTCCCGGGACAGGCAGGGGCCAGAAGCTACGTGAGACCGAGAGACGCTGGAGGCGTGAGGTCTCACACCGCAGGAAGCTGGGGCCTCGGAGCTGCGGGTGCAGCCGGAGCCCGGCCCCGGGAGGGAGAGACCGGGGGCTTCCCCGAAGCCTCCCTCAACAGCCGACCTCAGGCCACGCCCCCTCCGCTCCAAGCCCCGCAACAAGCGGGGGCGGCCCGGCCGGGGGTGAAAACGCCCCGAGGCCCCAGCACCAGCCCGGCGGGCTGTCCGCACCTTGCCCAGCAGCCGTCTCAGACCCTCGCAGTCAAACTCCATCTCCAGGCGGGTTCCCGAGTCCGATCCCCGACCCCAGCTCCTCGGCCTCCTTTCGCACCGGCTCCTGGACGGCGGCCGCCGAGGACCAAACTTCCCGGGAGGCGCAAGGCCCCGCCCCTTCCCCGGCTCGAAAGTCAACCCGCCTCCAACGCCCCACACTCCGCGGCGGTTCCGAGGGAAGTAGCGTCCAGCTTACGGGAGAGAAACTTGGGCACATCTATGAAGAGAGGACTAGCAAGGACCTGAGGAGAAGCAGTCAAGGAGGTGGAAGAGAGTTCCTAGAAAGAGGTGTTAAATTCAGTTTCGAAAAAGATCAAGGACGAATATTGTAGTGGGATTTAGGAAGAAAGAGATCATGAAAGTTCAAAATCAGAATGTCAGGGCCCTAGAATAGGAAGCCAGCAGGAGCGTAGTGGAGAACTGGGAGATGGGGACAGCCCTGTGAGGAGGATGCCGCATCGGGGGAGGGGTTGCCTTTTTTTTTTTATCAAGGGAGAGTCCCGTAACCATATGGGTGGTAGAGAAAGGCAACAACCAGGTGAGGGAAAAAAAAACCCACAAACTTTGAAAATAGGAGAGGCGGTAGATTGGTGGATTAGGTCACCTGAAGAAGGAAGGCGAAGTTATGCAATATACTGGCTTTGTTTGGTGATCTTGACTTGTGAGCTACCTGCTTTGTGTTCTTGGCTGGAGCTGGAGCAGGAGCAGGAGCAGGAGATACTTTTTAACTGTCAAGAGGTTGGGCTGGCAGAAAGGTGATTGTATTAATTGGAAGACCTAGAGGCAAGAATGCTGTGACTCAATTAGGGGAAGAAGGTTGAAAGGCTGGAAGGAGCATTTATGCATTCAACAAACTTTTGGTTAAGCATTGACTATTGGCTAGATATTTTTCCAGGTCTGATGATACAGAAGTGAACAAAATACACAAAAACATCAGCTTTCCTAAGGCTGATGCTTTTATTTGTAGGAGGAGAGCAAAAATAATAAATACAATAAATAAGTAAATGAGAGTGCATGTTATAAAGTAATTTTGTGTTATGGTAATACAATTTTAAAAGGCGGCATAAGGAGATCAGGGTAGGTCCCCTTGAGGCCTGAAACAATAAGCATTTCATAGAGAGTTTTCAAAGCAAAGTCCTAAAACAGGCATGAGCCTGGGGAGGCTTGAAACAGCGGAGGCCAGCATGGCTGGAGCAGAATGAAGTAAGAAGTGAGGAAGCAGAAGTAGGCTAACTCAGAGAAATAAGAGGGAGCTAAGGCAGTGATTCTCCCCCGTGCGGTCCCCAGACTTACAGCCTCAGTATCACCCACAACTTGTTAAAAATACAAATTCTGAGACCCCACCTCAAACCTACAAACTCAGAACCTTAGGGGGGTGGGGTCGAGCAGTCTGTTTTAAGAAGCCTGGGTAAGCCTAATTCAAGAAAAAAATGTGAGGACCAGTGTGAGTACTTTGCAAACAATTGTGACCGGCTTGCAAATGCCCTTTAGCCAGAGACCAGCAGGCACACACTCACACTTAAACAAGGGTTGATTACGCCATAATTATAGGATTTGGGTTTTGGGTGATTTGGGAGACGGTGTAAGAAAGCAAAGCTCCACTTTGGGTTGGGTGCTGTCCGAAAGGAGAATTGTGATTGGTTATCTAAAATATCTATAAAATGGGCAACCTAGCGTGATGGTAGAGCTGTGATCGGTTAAAAAAAAAAAGCAGCAATCACTTATATTTGCAGAGAGAAGAGGATGTTTGGTATTTTGTGGGTTATACAGTGACCTTGCTTTTGTTTAGACAGAATTATGAAGCGGCCTTGTTTTGTCTCATTTTGTCATGGTCTGAATGACCCATCTGATGGTTTCCTGTGAGACAGGAAAATCACATAGCCTAGCTGCGAGTGCCAAGTCAGCTAACAGCACTGAGACAGAGCTGGGTCAGCCCAGTTCTGATGTCAGGGGCTGCTTTTCTATTTGTTAGGCTTTTACTCTGAAAGAGGAAGCCACGAGAGGGTTTTGAACAGAGGAATCACCTGACCTGACGGGTAGTGAGTATGAGTCATGTGACCAATGATGTCACAATGCCCCACTAGACTCCAACTTCTCTACTAGGGAGTTCTGGATCCAAGGACTGGAACTGACATGCGAGACTTCTACCAACTGAGGGTTTTTTGAGCACACTCCTTTGCCAAGATTTGGTGAAAAGTCTTTCACTCTGCAATTGTGCCTTAGAAATTCTTTTATCATGATCGTGCTTGGCTGGATGCTTTTTGTTGGCCTTGCATGTTACATGGGCACGTTTCCGGAGTTTATGGTAAGTAATGATTCTGCCTGCAAATTCCTGGTAGTCAGTCCTGCCTCTGGCTAACCCTCCCCGCTGGGGTTTCTGACCAAAGGGGAAAGATAGTTGAGATCTCACCACGAATTAGAAGTCAGGAGGTGATGGGAGCCAAGTTAGTTTCCCAGGCTACTTCCCATCCCATGGGGACATCTTTAAATCCCCCTTACCCTTAGGTATGTAGCGTCACTTATTTCAAAGCATTATGGGCTTTATAAGGGCTCTGCCAAAAATAGTGCCCACCTTCTGGCTTTCACTAAGTCCAGGCCAAGTTGCTGATCAGGAGAGGGAAGGTAGGCCTTGGAGGGGATTTTCAGCCAGGAGTCCTTCTAGTCCTATACAGAGACAGTTACCTACTGGACCAACAAGTGGAGCCATGTCTGCCTTTACATTTATTTCTGACTCAGACTCCAACTCTGAGGTGGAAAGAGAGGTGGCCTGTTCAGGAGAGCAAGGCCCGACGGAACAGCCAGGCTTTGGATGAAGATCTACAACTGTGAGTGGTGGTCATGTCTGTTGGGCTGAATTCCTCCCTTTCCAGAGGACTTGGTAACACCCTAAAATCTCAGTGGAGAGTTTGTATTCCTCTGGAGAATATGATCAACTGTAGAAGGGGAAATGATTAGAAGTAGATAGCAGGGAAATAGAATTTGGGGAACACTACTGAAAAGCAGATCAAGGTTCAAAGATTTGTTAACAACTCTGGTCTGTTTTGAAAGGAAAGGTATTAGTTTTGAAAACTGTTCCCATCTATTAACTTACAAGCTCTATAATAAATTGGGCCAGCATTTTAATGCCCCTTTTGGCAAATACTGAATTGGAGTTAAGGTGAATTTGGGTTAAGTCCCAACTGTGCAACTTACTAGCTATGTGACTTGGGAAATTTTAATCTCTGTGAAGTGCAGTTTCTTCATCTGTGTAATGGAGATATCTCAGGATCTTATTAGTTTGGATTATATTTGGGAATTCATGTAAAGCATTTAATGCAAAGCTTGATAATTAGCATTTAGTAAATGCTAACTTAAAAACTAAGCAAAATCATGAACCAGTCAACCAATCATGAACCAGATTAGCTTGTGGCAATGACCTCAGCTGTTTATCCAAGGCCACACAGGTCAACTTGTTTGCGAAGCTGGGATGTAAGCATAGATCTCTGGATTTAATAGCCCCTCACACTCATTCTGCTAGACCAGCCTACCTGTAGCAAGCGTTAAGAGTGTCCTTTTAGCAAATCAAATCATCCCCACCCATTTTATTCAGACCTGTTTTTTCAAAGATGTTACCACAGTTAAAGAAACTTACTTCTGAGTCTTAGTAATGTACCGACTACAGGAGCAGGTTTTCTAGGCAGCTACACTGAAGGCAGGGGTATCGAGTCTCAGCCAGCCCCAGATACTCTAAGGCATGATGGTGGTGCTTCCCCCCCTCCCTCTGCCCCAGAATTCCTAGGAGGGTATTGGCACAACACAGTCACACCTCTGTGGGGGTGGGGATGAGAATGGAGGCCCTGGGCACTTGTTTAGCTGAGCCATTGCCACACTGTGTTCCTGACCAAACTGCTGAAATTATCCTGTGCCTCAGTTTCTCCAGCTATAAATTGAGTGTAATAGCCTATGTTCCTTCTTTTCCCTTCTGAAGGAAATTGTAATGAGGTTTACCTTGCATGAAAGTTTAACTGTGCTAGTTCACAACATTCAAGATTTTTCAACCTGTCCAGGTAGTCTAGTTGGTTAGATTCCCCCATCAGGACATATACAAGAAGCAACCAATGAATGCATAAATAAATGGAACAACAAATTGATGTTTCTCTCTCTCTCCCTTCCTCTTTCTCTCTAAAAATCAATCGATAATTAAAAAATTTTTTCTTTGAATAGTCCTAACAATCTTATCTAAAGTAATTGCTCATAACATAGCTAGCCAATTAACCCTTCCAGTTAATCCAGGATATTTTTTGTTTTGTGTTTTACATAGGAATTCTTCTTCTTCTTCTTTTTTTTTCATTTGACTGCATAAAGCTGAAAGTCAATATATTCTAGGTGGATGAGTTAATAAAGATCTGATGCCAGCTAGATCCCAACTGCATAGAGTCAGCCACCAGGGAACAGGGTCGTCCCGATAAGGGTTCTTCAGCCCCAACACATCTGACATCCTGGCCAACCATCCTATATTCACTCTGACTGGTCCCCAAGGTCACAGGAGCTGATGTCACAATTGGTATCTGAGCCCTGCCCCCCCAAATGGCCATCGCAAGCCATTTCAGTTCAGACTAGACCACAAAGCTCCAGCCAGGAGCTATCATGCTGGGCCATCCACCATCAGGCCTTGAATGAAGACAGCCCAATTCCCAGGACTCAGGGAACACAACACACCTTTCAGAAACACCCATTTGCCCCTGCACACACCACCAACTGAGCCACAATGATTGTTGTCTTATGGATGCTTCTCATTGCAGGAACAATGTGGAAGGGATATAAGTATCCTCCAGGAGGGGTAAGTGTGCCCTCAACTTTGTTCTCTATTCCTACTTTGAAATGTGTTCCCCCAGATCAGCGGTTCTCAACCTGTGGGTCGGGACCCCTTTGGGGGTCGAGCGACCCTTTCACAGGGGTCGCCTAAGACCATCGGAAAACACATATATAATTACATATTGTTTTTGTGATTGATCACTATGCTTTAATTATGTTCAATTTGTAACAATGAAATTGGGGGTCACCACAACATTAAAGGGTCGAGGCATTTGGAAGGTTGAGAACCACTGCCCCAGATAAATGAATTAAGCATCAAAATCCAACTCTAGTAACTTTAGAAACAAACACCCTCTTCTTTATTTCAAAGAAGTTATGTAGCTTACCCACTTCTATTACTATTCACTTTCCACTTACAGTTGGGAGACTTCCCTCTGTCTTTCATGTGATCTTTTACATACATTTTCCTAAGAGCCTCTATTCTTTTTACTTTTCTTTTTTTGAGCCTCTATTCTTTTTCAGACTCTTTCAAATAAACTGGCGGTGTAGAGGTCAAGATTTCTCAGGCCCAGTGTCAAAGCTGCCTGACATGGATGACCTAGGCTTGTTCTCATGGGACATTGTGTATGCCGTCTTCAATACCATTTCTTAGACGAGCCCACACGAACAACCCCACTTAACTCTCCCTCAACACTGGTTTGTAATGGTTCTGGTGGCACATGTCTCTCTCCTCTCTCCTCCTGTTGGACCTTGGATATTTGGCCTTTCTCTGCCTCGTCAGCTCCAATACTGCTAAGCCCCTCTGGCAACTGAGATGGGAGGCATTTGGTGACAGAATTGGACGCAGCTACCCCTGTCCACTCTTGGCAAGGAGGGCAATGATCTCAGCCCACACTAAGCATGACCCACCTGACATACTTTTCTCCCTTCAGATCCCACTGGAAACAAGCAAAGATGATCCTGGTGAAGCAATGCAGCTCTGAAGCCCTCCTGACCCGCTGGCTGTACAGTTCCTGTTGTTGGTTTCACATAAAGTAATTGCACATTATTTTTGTCACATTTTATGGAAAAAGTTGCCGTACTTTTGAAGATAAAGACTTGGTATTCTGTTAGCTCAAAACAGGGAGAGGGAGGCTGGGGAGGTAGTTGGGGGTGGATGGAAGTGGTTGAATACCTTCTGTTTCATAGTCCCTAAGACTGGTAGTAAGACTAAGATATCCAGTTCAGTTTCTCCTCTGTTCTGTATCCTTATTAAGGATAGAAATTCTCAAGAGCTCTTTAGACCTATTTCCCAAGTAATGCCTTTCTCCTGGGTCCCGGATTGAAATTATGTTCAAGGGCTAGAGATTGCAGCAACTTTAAGCCTATTCTTTGGGGGTATTTCTCTGTGGCCTTTCCACAACTATTATTAAGAACTCAAAGCTTCCACCTTGTGGGGGGAAGGTCCTCATTTTCATATTAGGTGTAAGATACTCAATTTTACATTATTTTAATCCTGCCAGTAACCAAGTAGTAGCCTCATTTCACAAAAGGGCAAAAATGAAGTTGAGAGTCGTAACTTACCAACCCACTCAGCTGAGTTGCAGTGAAGGTTAAGATCCTGGCCTTTTCCTAGCATGCTTTTGTGTGTCAAGGAAAAGGGCCAAACAAGAGACTGGGGTATCTAAGATCTTGACTGCCTCATGGTCCAAATGTCTTCTTCATCTGTATAGCCAAAGAAGTGGCCTGATGATTCTTTTTGCACTGACTGCTACTTAAACAGGCAAGTGTAGAAACAAAAGCTAACTGCTTAGTCCTCATTATGATGCAGTTTATGAGACCAAGGACAGAAACTAAGTATGAGATCTATCCAGTTACGCTGGGTGTCTGAGCCTTAGGTTATACTGAATAAGCCCTCTAGTGATTTGGAGCTTTCTGACCCTAAGGGGAGATGGGGAGGGAGGAACAGCTCTAACAGGAGTAAACATAGTACTTTTAAAATAAAATGTATAAGTTGTTCCCATTCTGTGGCTGCTTGGATGACTGACAGTTCCAGTCAGGAGTGCACCCTTACCAGCATATCTTTTGGTTATGTACACATTTTGTTGATGCCTATTTGGTACAGATTTGTCCAACTATTTTCTAAGTGGCTCTATGCACTGAATGGATTAGCCTTTTTTTGTGGAAGGAAATGTGAATTCAAAACCCATGAGCAAAACTTGGTAATTTCTCAACCTATGATACTAGCATCTCTAGTACTTATGACTTAAGCTCAACACATTTCATGAAGTGACTGCATTCTTCGGCTGCATGGTTGTGCCTCATGTATGTATTCCTAAAGAGTCATCTCAGGTCTTATTATAGGGGATCAGAGCTTGCTTTTCTTGATAAGTATATACCCAGTTCTTTTTCCCTCCAGTTCAGAGTACACCTCCAAACAGTTCTCCTAACTTGGGTGCCTTCTGGAAGCTGGTGGGAGAGATGATAGGTCACTAGTAGGGTCTGAACAGATGTGAATGTATAAGGGAGAATGAACAGAGGCATGTGTATAAGGAGACAAACCCCATCTCTGAAGTCTGATGAGTCTACTGGGGTTTCTAGCTGGAAATATGTTCAGGGTGATGATATAGGAATATGAGTTTTGGTAAATAAGTGCAAACCAGGGAGATATCAATAAAATATTTTTAATGCCTACAATTTCTTTTATACATAAATTGCAAAACTTTCACCTGTATGTGCAAAAGTAGATTCTCTTGCAGGTCAACAGCACCAGGTTAACAAGCTAAGCTATGTAAATGTTTCTAAACTTGTTTAGAAACAATGTTTATGTAAAAGAAATGATGGATTTAATAACTTCAAAGAAACCTATATATCCCATTCTTAATCATACACTAAAACCTGAATATTTATTTCATCACATTCACTCATAAAATAAATAGTCTAATATATTCAGCACATTGAAAATAAACCAACCATCTCTCTTCATATATTTATTCTCTTCCCAAACATGTTTTGGTCTCCTGCTATATCTCAGAAATGTACCAGTAGCTGCTTTTAAGTTACAAAATACAAAACAGTAATTTATTTCCTGGAGAAAATCTTGGGGATTACATTAAAAAAAATGAAATTTTGAGTTCCCATAGACTTTCTTTTTTGTTAAATCTTTGAACCTTTTCACGGCACACATGTAAGGCTGCCTGTGACATGTGGTACCCTGCCCTCCAAATGGACATAATTGCATTTATACTATAGAGACAATACAAAGACAAGTCCTGAAAGTAGCCTTCAAAGAAAGCGCCCTTGCTTTGACACAGCAACTATCAAAAGCAAGCGGGACTGTGCAATCAGAGGCATACGAGTTTTATGAAAACTACTTTCCTTTCACGTCATCTGTTAGAGAATACCACACCCATGATCATGTAACATTATTACAACCGTGAAATAACATTACCACATTCGTGCATTAACATTATCCACTAAAAGGCACATCTTCAAATATTGAATAAAATCTGAAAGTCAAAACGGAGGATACATTGAAAATCAAGCACTTACTTTGTAAACCTTGATAAAATAACAACCCATTCCAGTTTCTTCAAAGGTTTGTGAACTTTGTGGTCAGGAATTACAGAATAAAATGGAAGACAGGATTTGGAAACAAGGCCAAGATTAATTTAAAAGACTCAGAACTTTTCAAAAAAAAATGAACCACAGAAGTGCCCTTTTATAATGTTGATGTTGCAGATTACTAAAACTCAACATCCATATTAGAAACACTCAGAAGTGACAGACGCATAAGGACACAACCTGACTTCTTACCAAGTTCTGGAACTTCTATCTAGCACAATGGTGCCTTTCTGTACACGTCATTGAGTAAAGTGCTAGGAAACTTCAAGCCGCCAAGAATCTTTCCGCTGTGACAAGCACTTGATTGTAATTGCCAATTTCAAAGAGTCTGAATATTGAAAAAAAATTTATCCAAGAAAAATGAATTTGAAGGGGTGGAGGAAGTACATGGCAGCAAAGAAAATAATGTTCCAAACCTGTTTTATTACATGGAACATCACACTACCCTCAAACCAATTTCACTGGACTGAAGGTATTTGAGATCAGTGAGGCAGTTAATAAGATTTTCTGCCACCAGTGTAACAGTCTATGTGTAGCATTAGGAAGGGTGCTATTCCTAGTGATGAAGACACCTTTCATTGGACTCAACTTCAAAATTAAATCCTTGCACTTTCAAAGTGTGAAACTCAATTCAAAATGAGTCAGGGTTAAGGGACTGAGTCACATGGTCAACTCATTAAGGAAGGTTAAAAATGGTCACGTATAATACCCAAACTTGAAGAAGAAAGCTTTTTGAATAAAAATACCACAAAACAAGTTTTGGACCTACTGAATAGTAAGGATTCTTTGTAGGACAACCTTTACTACCATCCAACAGCCTAAAGTAGCACAACCCTTATTGTAGAAGTGTTCTGTAAGCTTTTGTCCCTCTGTCCCCAACCCTCCACATTTAACATCAAGGACAAGTGCTCTCTATCATCGGCATATCTCATTTTCTGTCACTGACTTTCCTTGAGACTTAGCCTCTCTCCAGCTAGAACCTAGGTCAGACTGAGAATTGCTTGTATTTGAGGCTAAGAGAGCGCAAGTCTATAGAGGGGACTTGAAGAAAGGTAAGGAAGCAAGTTCCACAGCCCAGGACACCACCAGTAGCAGGAAACATCCTTTTCAACCTGGGGAAACAATCTCTTCACAGTGCATAGTTTGAAATAAAAGTGCAATATGAGTAAAAAGAGGCGGTGGTGTGCTTGAAACACATGAATTTAGTTTTTGGTTTTTGACATTAATTGCTAAGGAATTTAAAGATAAAAATGCAAAGTCATTAACATCAAGAGATACAAGGGCACCTTGGATTCCAAAGTATCTTCATAATGGAGGAGTAAGGGTCGCCTCACGTGTCACTTGCTTATTTTTTAAGCTATTACTCTTTCAACTCTAATCTTTGAATAAAATATTTTTTCTTCAATATAAAATGACTTTTTAGATAAAATTCAGCACAGTAACATTGTCTATTTTACAATAAATCTGAAAGGAAAACTTGGAAAAGAATATTCTTATACCAAATGGCATAGCTTGTTTTTTAAATTGAAATTTTTTTGGTTAACTGCCTAATCACCTAAATCAGTGAATAAGAATGCTCAGCATCCAATCCATGAATATAGAATACAATGTAATTTATTCTACTTTTTACTTCAAAGTCACAGAGATGACATCCATATAATTAAAAAGCCTACTCTACATTTTCAAGTTCTCAATCCAAACATATAGATTAGAACAGCTCACTTTATTGCTGGCAACATTCATGGAAGGGCCAGATTTCTCATAAAAAGACAAAATAAGTTTGGGAGCCAGCCATTGCCCTACTCACCCATCAACAGAATTATGGAAGTCAAGAGGCAATCTTTTTTCCTTTTTAAAATAGCAAAGGAACAAAAGAAGATTGGCTGACTGTTGAGTGGGCCCACATTAGAATGCATAGCTCATCAGGATCAAGGCCAGAACCTGTGAGCAGTTAACTTCCTAAGAGCACTCAGTGGGCATTAAGTCATCTGCACTACAGATTTCACCCCAGAAAGTATTTGAAAATACTTTATGCTCAAAATATACAATATCCATTCCTTGTCCTTGAGGACCCAAGTATAAATCTAAAATGAGAATGGGCCTCTTCAGTCCGAAGGCAGGACTTCTTTGCAGTAGAGTATCTCCAGAGTTTCACAAAAATAAATAAAAGCAGCAGCTAATGTCTTTTTAGCTTCTTGACCTTTCGGCATTTCATTGCTTCTTCCTCCCGTCTCATTTCCTCTAAGTCCTCTTGCATACCTAGTCTTAAACTGTCAAAAAAGGAAGAGAAAACATGGTATTTGTCAATATATGTACATGAAATTGCTTTCCCTTCCCTTCTTTTCAGAAAAGGACTGTTTATTCCAATACTGCTGGTAGTATGGGAGAGCAGCAGGTCATCCACAAAAATCTGTTCTGCCGCCCCCCATAAGCCAGCTGCTTATATAGGGTAGGACAAAGATTCTACTTTCTTTAAAAAGCAAGAATGAAATTTCCACTGAGAGCTCAGATGGAATGTAGTATGTACTCAAAATTACTACCAAGAGCCATGCCATTGCCTCAAATTATAGTGGAAAAAGACCTCACAGCTTGCCTGCTGTGGCTCCGTGGTTTGAGCATCGACCTATGATCCAGGAAGTCATGGTTTGATTCCCAGTAGGGGGTGTGCAGGAGGCAGCCGATCATGATTCTCTCTCATTGATGTTTCTATCTCTCCCCCTCCCTAAAATCAATAAAAATATATTTTTTAAAAAAAGACCTCACCACCTCAAAATTTTATTTTTCTCTTAAAGTAATAAAGTAGAATTCTCAACAGATCTTAAAAATAATAAAAAAATACTTATATAAAAATAACATAACATTCCATGCTTGTCCCTTACCAACACTTTAGCTTGATACCTAGTTACAGGACAAGGAAGGGCAAGAGGGAGAAAAAGGTTTAAGGTTTAATGTTCTGGGTTGAGACTGAAGTCAATTATTTCACCAAGTAAATGCTATAAACAAAGTACTAGTAATCATTGGTTACCTCCACCCAAGAAATTTTCATTACCAGATAGCCAAACGGGAATCAGACAAAGGAAATTTAATATCCCTCATCAGGTCCCTGAGGCCAGCAGTGGCACAGGTTAGGCAAGACTGAGATGTGTCTGATGTCAAAGGGAATCAGGATGGGGAACAAAAAAACCAAGACCATGCTATGCTGTGATCAGAGGTGGCTTCGAACAGTAGTTATGTGCCTACATGGATGAGGCACTGCCCTAGGCAATGTGTCAACATTATCTTAACCCTCACAATACCCCAAGCAGTAAAAACAGTATATTCTCATTTTACAAACAAGAAAACAAGAATTAGAAAAGCTAAGGAATATGTCTAAAGCCCCACAACAAGTAAGCAGGACTG